TATATATATATATACCCCCTACCCCCACCACACACACACACACACACACATCATTATACATATATCATTGTTTAGATTTATTTCATTTGTATCATTAGTTAATAACAATAACTTACACTTTTTTGTGGCATGACATCTTTGACATCCTCTTCATTTCTATAGAAGCTTTGGGAAGAAAACTGATCCAAAGAACTCTTTCTTTTAATAGATGCTTGATTAACTTTCTTTATACTTGCTGGCTTTAACTTACTACTTTTGCTCATGGGACTGGAGTCTTTAAATAACATTGTAGTTTCATTATTCATAGATTCATTCAGGAACAAACATTTGCTGGCGTGAGACTCGATAACAGAGGAAGGGAATTCCTTGGCACATATTGGACACAATATTTTGTCAGTATTCATGTTTGTAATAAACTAACGATAATAGAATCTTGAATCCTCTCTTTCTTTCACTTATCCAATCATCAAGCAGATGCAATAACAAAAATTGCGTTATGAGTCGACACAAACCAGCTGAAATATGACAAAAAGAACAATAAATAAAATAAAGACGATGGATAAAAAAATAATCGATAAAAAGAGTAATCTTTAACATTTTGGTCTGGCGCATAGTACATAGCAGTTAATTGCAATCCCGTTACATATCCGTTATTTCAAGAAAAAAAAACCCCGAAAATCCAATTACATGCATTTATTTCCGGAAAAGTAGAAACTTGTTCAACTACTGTCATTTACTTTCGGTCGCGTGTTATTATTTTACGTACAGAAATGCATTTGTCACCGGTGAACCGGTATGATCGTTACAGATTTCAACTAGAAATCACGCGTCCAAAAAAGTAGCGTTGTGACGGCGAATAAGACACGTGGTATCGGATACGATCGCCGTGTGATAGCGACAGGACAGCGACGTAGATGCCACGAGGAAGGTGAATTTCGCTGAGGGAGATGAACGAATACTCGAGAATTTGCCGCGCGATGCGCAGGACCACTGCTGAACGGGGGCTCCTCGGAGACGGTACCGTTATGTCAGGCTCGTGCTAACCTAAGCCCACGCGCGCACGGAAGCGTGTGCGAGGAAAAGCCTCCGACGAGCGGATCCCCGCGCGAGCACTGTAATCGCGACCCGAGCGCGGGTCTTCGACCGGAGGTTCGAGATCGAATTCTCGGGAGAACGCGTCTGAGGATCCACGAGGATCTCCGGGTGGGAGGGCGACGTCACGACCTCGTTGGAGAGCGGTCCAGCGTCGAGTCGCGGCGCTGACGTGGGCGAGCTGCCCTTTAAACGGCGGATCTCGCATCGCGTTTCCGCACGTGACAGTTTCTCGCGTTTTTCCGCACGTGAGAGACGCGACGGCGGAGAGTTTCCGGCAAGCGGAAAATCGAGGGCAAGCCGACAGCGACCTGGGAAAATCGGTCCTCATTCTTCGTCTCGTGAGGAATTCACACGCTCGTCTTCCTCGCCCCTGGTGGATCCTGTCGGACGATGGAAGTCCGGCGCAGACGAGCGAGACCGCAAGACAACAAGCACGACGCCGACGCGGTGACAGATCAGCAGAGGACGGTTCAGAGGGGCGAGGTGAGCCGCGACGTTTAAATCTGACGATCTCGGCGAAATATTTTGAAGAAGCATCCTACCAGCGCTTCCGTATTGCACCGTTGAGCGAATAGGATTTCTCGTTACAGATCTTTAATGTGGCGAGTGCGAGGAATTCAACTGGCACATATATAGCGATTTATGAATCTAGAGATTCTGGAGATTGACAATTTTGTGTTATATATAATTATTTATTTGTATTGTACAGTGTCGCATAGATTATATTATATACAAAATATTTTATTATTATTGCTCATTTCTTTTTTACTAAAAATAAATTAAAAAAATTATTTTAATGTTGTTAATAAATAATTTTAAAATCATGATAAATTTGAAAAATAGTTTGGCAATTAAATTTAAGAAATAGAGTAGATATTTTCTTCCAATTTATTGATGATTTATTGATAAAGATCTTTGAGATAAAAAATCTTGTAGGACATATTATATTATTTGTGTAACTATGTTATATATTATGTTATAAATAGAACGTTTTATATTATTTTGTTTGTATTGTTTGTTTATATTGTTTTTACAAGATTATAAAAATTGATTTTTATATTGAAATTAGAAAATATTTGGTTAATTAAATTTTAGAAATAAATTAGATAATATATTTTCTAATTTAGCGCCAAGCCACTACTTTGACAAGAAATCTTGTTTATGTATATTTTATAAAAAAAAAAATTGGAACTTTAAACTTATTCAGAGAAGCAAAGTTGAAGGACTAGCAATGATAATTATTTCATATATTATTATATTAGAAATCTATTGCATTTCTTATATACATGTATAATTTTGTATAAACATATATAGGCAAACACAAAATTTTTATAGAAAGATTACACTGAAAAATTATATTTTATTAATATTTTGATTGCGGTTTTCTTTAAGATTCACTATTAAAATCATTTCGTATCTTGTTATCATATTTTGTATCGATTTTTATTTTTTACAGACGGATGAACAGGCAGCTTCGAATATCTCAATAGAAAATAGTAAAGTAAATCCATCAGATTCTATCGAATGGAAGCAACTTTTGTCAAATAATGCGATTCATGCTCGAGTCAAAGTTAGCTTGGAAATCGATCTTATAGCGGTAATTTTACTAATTACGGGTATTTGCACTCGTCTTTATCGCCTCGAGGAACCGCGCAGTATAGTGTAAGTATATAATAATACATATTTCCGATATAACGCTGATAAATAAATGATATAACGCTGATAAACGAATAATTCGTAAAAAATTTAATTATCAACTAATAATGTTCTTCATTCTTGAAATTATTATTATATTAAATTCACAGCTTCGACGAATTGCATTATGGCAAGTACGTTGGATTGTATATGAAGAGGACGTTCTTCTTCGATTCTCATCCACCCTTAGGAAAACAATTGGTCTCTGCAGCGGCATACTTGGCTGGATTCGATGGGCAATTCAAATTCGATAGGATCGGAAGTCCTTATAGCGATGCGGTTCCTTTATACGCATTACGCCTGGTACCGGCGATATGTGGCAGTCTACTGATCCCTACAGGATATTACCTTATTCTGGAACTAGGCTTGAGGCAATGGGCCGCAGCAATTGGCGGGATTCTGCTCTTATTTGGTAGCCTTCTCTTAAATTAGAAAATGCATTGCTGCAGGATGTTGTTCGCTTTTCACATCTTCATTTCTATCTTTGAAAGAGTTTTAAATTTAAATTCTAAATTCTCCATTTAAGATGAATAAATGTAACGATTCTATTGTAACGATTCTATTGCACAGTATTGTACAATATTGTACATATATTTAATATTTTTAACATTTTAAAATTAAGTTCAGTTATTGCTAGATACCTTTGCTTCCTATAATACATGGTGTTGTGTTGATGTGATTTATTCTGATATATTTATTATTATTTTATAGATAACGCATTGTTAACACAATCAAGGTTCGTTCTGATGGAAAGTATCTTAATGTATTTTTCGTTACTCGGCTTGTTATGCATCGTAAAATTTCGGAAAATTATGGACCAGCCGACATTGGCGTCCTGGTGGATATGGCTAACATTAGGCATCATGAATTTAACATGTGCACTATGGTATAATTACAATTTTTTTCTTCGTCTCCTACATCTATTATCAATCAAATATAAATAAAATATTTCCTTACAGTGTGAAGTATATTGGGTCTTATTCCATGGTTCTTGCACTCTTCCTGATCGCTCATGATTATTGGTCCCTGCTCTCAAGGAAGACTCTGTCGAACACGATCTTGTGGGTTCATCTTTTGCTAAGATTCATCGTGCTGGTCGTTGTTATTGCCGCCGTGTACCTAGGCATATTTTACATACATCTGGCGATACTCTCGAAGGCGGGACCGCATGACTCGGTGATGACAAGCGCGTTTCAAGCAAGTTTGGAAGGAGGACTCGCCAGCATCACAAAAGGGCAGCCTCTGGAAGTAACACATGGTTCGCAGATCACTCTCAGACATACGTACGGTAGAGCCTGTTGGTTGCACAGTCATAATCAGGTGTATCCTTTACGGTATCCGGACGGTCGTGGCAGCTCCCATCAGCAGCAGGTCACTTGTTATTCGTTCAAGGACGTGAACAACTGGTGGATCGTTAAGAAGCCGGACAAGAACGATCTAGTGGTCACGAAGCCCATTGACCCCATCCGGCATGGTGATGTGATTCAATTGGTACACGGGATCACGAGCAGAGCGTTGAATTCGCACGATGTCGCGGCACCGATGACACCACAGAGTCAGGAAGTATCGTGTTACATTGATTATAATGTGTCTATGCCGGCGCAGAATCTATGGCGAGTGGAGATCACGAACAGAGATCACTCTGGCGACGCGTGGCACGCGATTCAGAGTCAGGTGCGGCTGATACACATACACACGAACGGAGCGGAGTTTGCGTTGAAGTTCAGCGGTAGGCAATTGCCCGATTGGGGTTTCAATCAGCATGAGGTTGTAGCTGATCGGTTGGTGGACCAGACCAATTCCATTTGGAATGTCGAGGAGCACCGATACACTAAAAGCGAGGATCAGAAACAGCGGGAACGAGAGCTGATCAGCGCGGAGATGATACCATTGCAGGCGACTGCGTTAAGCTTTTGGGAGAAATTTGCAGAGCTGCAGATCAAGATGTTATTTGGCGGTCAGGAGGGTCAGAATAGCCACATGTATTCCAGCGGACCTCTCGAATGGCCGCTGATGTCCCGTGGTATTGCGTACTGGGTATCTAACGATAGTAATGTGAGTCAGAAAATTCATCAAGCATAAATGTTGGCTTAGTTTGACCATATTTGAATATTAAAATATTTATCTTATTTTTATAATTTCCAATTACCTTATTTCAACTTTTTTAATTAATTTTAAATCATTAAATAATTATGAATTTTGGTTTTTATAAGACATAAAAAATTGTGTTCATCGTTTCAGGCACAAGTACATCTTTTGGGAAATATCACGATTTGGTACTCCGGTACAATCTCAGTAATCATATATTTAACATTACTGATATTTTATTTAATGAGAAGAAAAAGAAAATGCTTCGATATCCCAGAGGAAGAATGGCGAAAATTTGTTAACAATGCTTACGTATTGTTAGCTGGATATTTTCTTCACTTCTTGCCTTTCTTATTCGTCGAACGTACTTTATTTTTACATCATTATCTACCGGCTTTTATTTTCAAAGTTTTATTAATGGCAGCTACAATTGATCATCTATATTATTTAATTAGGTACGTTTCTTGATATAGTAATAGTGCAAATTTGAATACAATTCCATTTGATATAAAATAAATATTGAATTGTTCTATCTTCTATTTCAGCATTCGTCATCCAACGTGGAACGTTTCATTATACATTTTAACATGTGGTATCATTGCTTGGGTACTTTTCGTCGTCTACGTGTTTAAAAAATTTATTGTATTTAGTTACGGGACATCAGCTCTCAGTGCTAAGGACGTGATAAAATTAAGGTGGAAAGATACTTGGGATTTTATTGTGCATAAAACATAATTTGTTAAATTTAAGAAAAGACTTATATATAAGACACATTATATTTAAGTAGAACGTTGTGTATTGAAGGAGAGAAACATATGACATTTACAAAATGTTATGCACAGCGCACATTACCGTATTTTTTATGAAAAGATTTAACAAATGATATTGCTCATGATGCGCATATGTATGTAACAAAATATTTTTTTATAATGGATAGTGCCACGAATGGGATGACACAACGGTGAGTGAGGTTAATGATATTGTAAACATGAATTTGTGTATAGACTGATTCTATTTTATAAAATGTTTTGTCGTTATTTAACGGCGCTTGATTATATCAATTTTTAAATTTATTTAGAAAACAGAGTGTCTATTTCCAAATTTTGAAAAAATATTCTCTGAGAATTTCCAGAGTACTGCAGTAAAATTATCAAAGAAACAATCGTTTAGAAAAAGACAAAATTTTGAAAAATTTTCTGCGTTTAATTTTGAAATTCTAATTTTTAAAAATAAAAAAAATTCACTGAGAATTCAACATTTTCCAGATTTTCTTTGAAAATAGACATTCTGGAAAAGAATATAAATATGTTGCAAGCGTATATATATTTTATAATTTTTAAAGCAATATTTTGAAGTTTAATGAATAATAGATATACCCAGTAAGCAAACTCTACAATATGTCAACAGATTCGCAGCAAATTTGGTCAAGAGTAACAAATTCGATGTCATTTACATTAGCATTAACATGATTTGCCTATAGATTATCGATAGAAATTGTGCAAAATCTGTTTGATATAGATTTCATTTTATTTCAACCGCCAATTCGCATCAAATTATATAATAAATATCAGTTCAATTTCTATTATTTATTTATTATCATATTTTGTTAATATATTTTTGCCAGCATTTTTCTAACAATATTGTATATGTCAAATCATGTATCAAATTTGTTGTCTTCCTACTAATAAAATTTGCTTTGCAAAATCTGTTCTTGACTCGACTGACTGCATAAAATATACATAAAATATAGGACTATAAGTAAAACTTTTAAGTTATAAATTTTTTTACGAACATTATATTCTCAAATAAAATTATATATTGTCATAAAGAAAATAAAAAAAAGAAAAACGAAAAAATTTTGTAAAGCGAAATAATAAAAGCAATTAAATACTAAAATCCAGATTCGTCTTTTTGTGACACTATACTATACAATATCGTATTGTAAAAGTATATTATAGACAATACCAATTTTTGACCATACAAATGAAAAGAAAGCAGTTTGTACAGAGCAAATTGTATCTTTAACTAGAATCGATGAGTATATTGGAACAATTTTATCAGATTTTCGAAATTTGCAATGGGAAACAACGATGCGCTTTAAAAAATTAGATAACAATAGTATACAACGTAAGAATAGTTTTTTGTTTTATCACAAAGTTGAAATGTATACGCAATCTCTTTTTTGTTATCCGACTTGTCACGTTAATGATACGTGAAAACTATAGATCGGATAAGACCATCACGAATTGTGTGTGCAGCATTACCTACGCTGAACGAGAAGAACACAGAATCACAGGACATGTTTTGAGAACAGACTCCTATTGGATACCATCCAGCTTTATTAAATACCACACCGACTCGATAAACCTGTTAATAACAGAATATTTTCATAATACATAACTGTGTAAACAATTGATGTTAAGTGATAATTTGAAAAGTTTTCAATATTTAACATAAAAACAAATCTTTAAATTTTTATTTAAAATAACGAGCAACAAAAGATATTGATTATATATAATAAAAAAAGCGCAATTAGATTGCTGTAACAAACCTTATGTTTCTGAATGTAAACTGGCCGATTGAAAGTAATTTCCACGAGAGTGCCAAAATTTGCTTTAGTGGTGAAATGCGTATACGTCAAACGCGTACCGTCACAATCAAGAAGATGAGCATACAAAATTTCAGTATATGATGTATCAACGTTTATAGGAGGATTAAAATTACTCGCCTATAAACGAAACAAAATATAGAACTCTGAATCTAGATATAGCAAATTACGTATAATCTTTAGCTTACTGCAGCGATCTGTGTAGGAACCTGTACACCCACTACACAAATGTTTTTGTCGACACTAAATGAGACGGAAGAGTCCAACACATTTGTATTTAAGCAATCCGTTTGTTGAACTACCGATCTGAGACAATAATATTTTGGTCCCTCACGTACGACTATTGCCGTTGTAGACATATTAGGTAAGTTCCCAGAGTCCTTGTTTACACTTCCATCCACCTGTATCGGTGATGTATTCCGCAGTGTACTACTGCTTGTACTACTGCTGGACTCCCCATCATTTAAAAAGCCAGAACGTAATGGGATATTTAAATGACCATATGGAGCTTTAGGTCTAGACATGAAAAGCTACAAGAAAACATTTCAAGAAATTTACATTTACATTTACAAATTTACATTACAAGAAATTTCTCTTTAAGCTACAATAATAAAAAATATAAAAATATTATAATGCTATCACAATATCTCATTCTATTGATCACATTTATGTCACACATTTTCGTAAATATGAAAAACAAGAAATAAAAAAAATTATTTTATTTATATGATATTAATTAAATAAATTATTAGACTCCACTCATGTTTTTTTTATAATTTAAAAAAAAATAAAATTTAATAAAAGATAGAATGAGATTTGTGTCGAGAAACAAAAAAATAGAAATAATCTTAATATTAGTAATATATTTAATTATTATTAGTAATATAAATATATAAAACAAAATTATATTATATAGGAAACTTACTGGATGAGGATTGAAGTGAATTTTCTTTGGTTCTGCTCTGCTATTTGAATTAATGCAAAAACCTTCAGGCATAGGTGTTTTGTTACCAGTACATAATATATTCATTAATATAGCGAAAGCTTCATCTTTTGTGAGAAGAGGAGACTGTCCAGGTCCCTCTGCAAATTCTTGTGGCATCAAACTTAGAAATCTTATTTTCAAAAGAGCATTTCCAATGACAGATCTTAAAGATTTTCCATTAATAGGATCAAGAGATTTCCTAGAACACTCTGCTTTGGCCCATCGCTCCAGTGCAGTAAACAATTCTATCTCTGAGCTGATTTGTAATTCTTCTTGCTCCAATACCTTGAGAAGTGTCCCCAGCTCAACATCCTCCCAGCTGGACTCCTTCAACACTTCATCTGTCTTGGTGCGTATGATTTGTAGGCATTTGTCCATTAGCACAGGTTCTTCAAACAGTTTGGCAAACTCGTATGCTCTGCATGCTTTCTTCGGTGAGAGATCAGACCACAGATATTTTGTGCACTCCTCTACCAAGCATGGCAGCATATATTTCTTGGCGCAGTAACACAACTCGCAAGCCAATTCAAAGGAGCCTAGGTCAACTTTATCAGTATATATGTATTCCAGTAAGGCTTTGAATGCCTCAGGTTGAACATCTCTTATCGGTATTGGATCGTTCTTCTCTGCCATGCCTCCGAAAAACATAGCTTCGAAGACTGGACTGGACATCGCCAGGAATAGCTTGTGACCCTTGAGAGTTTGCTGATGTGGCTCTTGACCGACGATGAAATTGCAATCGGACCATTGTCCCGTCTCCAGCAAGTATTGGCCACGTTCTGTAAGCTTCTGCTTGCTGGTCTGCCAATCGCAGGGTACGCTCATCTTCACGGCCTGTTACGTGCACATAAAAGCGAGCCCGGCTGTAACATGGAACAGGTCACCGGGATAGGATTAGACAGCAGGTACACCGCCAAGACTCACGTGCCAGGAAGCGGTTCGCGCAATGACGTATACGTGTATACTCATCTATTTTCGAGGGACACTTAACGTTAGCGCGCTATAAATACACAATGTGGAGTATTCACGCTGGCCGGAGAGACCAGTCCGCGCGGGGGAAAAGAAAATAGCTGTTGGAGAAATGCGCGCGCGGGGAAAATTCAGTTGCCTACCTAGGAACCGTCTTCGATGACGCAGGAAAGCAATTCCTCGTGCACTCCGGATCCGTTGTCGTCTCGATGCTCACGCGTCGTTGCAGCATAGAACGCTACGCCATCTTAATCCAAGAGAGTTCCCACTACCCGTCATCACTACCACCACCACCACCACCATCATCATCACCACTACCACTACTAACCACCTCTTCCTCAAAACTCGAGCTTCCCCTTCCTAGCCGCCCGTGCCGACGCGCTTTTCGTAGCGGTTGACGCTCTTGCTCCGTTCTCGACGATTCTTCTCGACGACACGACTACGACGTGCCTCTCTTCCTCCCTTTCCTTTCCCCGTTTCGCCTATCCTTCTAGCAGTAACGCGCAAAGCCTCCTCCGGCTGATTTCAGACCGAACACGCTTACCGCGGCGATCGATAATCCCGCGGCAAGGGATCGAGCCGCGGAAGTGCCGCACACCGTGCTGGTGTCTCCCGCCGTGTCGCCCGTTTTCTCCCGAATCGGCCCGGGTCGAGCGCGGGCACGGGTCGTCATCAGCGCGACGCGAGAGATCGTCCAAAGATCGCCGATCTCGGATTTCTGTCGCGCGGAAGCGCGAGTTACCGAAGAGCACTAGGCACGAAAAAGAGGGAGAGAGAAAGAGAGAGAGAGAGAGAGAG